TGCTTCAAATCTACAGGATTATGTAGATCATATATCGAGTGTAACAGGGAATAATTATAAATTCTATAGATCTATTTTATGTCAAACTCAATTCAAAACACATACGCATTATAATTTCTAAAATCACACCACATTTCTAAATACATACTACAATTTTTTATTATCAAAAATGGCTTTTACTTTCGTAGTTGATTATGCCAACTTTGTTGATTCTCTTAATGAAAATGACGTCAAAATACTTATTGATCTTCTCAATAAACGAATGAAGAAATCTCCACCCACACCTCCACTATCTACTAATGACCATGTTATTACACGATCCTCATCATTACCATCCTACATATCACCTTCTTCATTTTTTAACAATACTATTATCGACACCCCACCATCATCTCCATCTTTATCATCTACATCTTATTTTTCTTTGGAAAATACTACCTTTATACGCACGCCCCCAGTTTTAAAAACGGATATCATTAAGATATCCGAATATTATCAAAATAGGAATCTATTAGATTCCAATATAAATCTTAATCATTTGTTAAAGAAAACAAATGATTTAGTCATAAATCAGGGATTTATGACGACTACATGGGACTCTCATAAACCGTGTTTCATGTGTTGGCGCAGTTACCCCCACACATGCTGTTCCTCGTGTAAACGTCTATCTGGGCCTAATCTCCATCTCTGTAATGGATATGAAGATTTTTGTAGGTGCCAGTATTCATGTGGTCTCGTATACCCAGCTCAATACTCACCTGATGATGAGGTGTCATCATGGAAAAAATGTAAGTTCTATGTTGACAGGGGTATCGATTTAGAATCTGCTTTGGCAGAACATATAAAAACGTGTAAAGGAACTATAAAAAAGGATTTAAGTGTCGTATGTCTAAAAGTTTCGAAACACAAAACTAAAAAAGGCACACGTACAGATCCAATATTCATTAATCTTAATAAAGATAGATGTGAACTCTGTAAAGAAATCCATGACATACGTCAGGCATGCCATGGTGAAAATTTGGAATGCTGGTCATCCAACACCACATTAGTTGATTTACCATTAACAATGTTAAATCATGCTAATGAAACAGGTAAGAGAGTAAGGTGGGGGTGATTAGATACCTTACTTGTTATAATAATTTATTGTAAATAGTTTATTTAATTCATAATGTCTACTATACACATAGTAATTATAATTATAATAAAAAGTATATTCTATTTTTCTATTTTATTTTGTTTGTTTCCAATGAAAGTGTTTATCATGATTAAATCTGAAACCAAAAACTTGATTTGGTTTCATAGTATTATTCGAAAGAAATGTTTTGTCCATTCAATCTAAATAATTAAAAGGTTCAACGTAAATCAAACAAAATGTGTTGTACATATATTCATACATTGAATTGAAATTTGTTTAGCATCATTATGAGTATTCTGAGATTTTGTTATAAAAACAGCAAAATTTCATGTTGTGTTAAATGTAATTACCAATATGCCTCCACGTAAGAATAGCAAAGGTCAAGAATGCCACATTATTCCATCTTTTCTTTCTGAATCATCATTGAATGAATTATTGTCGAAATCTTTCAGCAATAACCCAACAGTAATATCTAGAAAGAAAAAAGTAACAGAGGATCAAATATCTCACTATATATTAACATATGGACAAGAACTACACAGTACAATACCAGTGTTAGATCCTTGAGTCAGTTTTATTGGGGCATTAAACATTAGAAAATTTGGAAACAAAAAGATTAATAATTCCGGTGTAATGGGAATTATTATCAGTATCATACAACGCTATGATATATTTTTTTGTCAAGAAGTTTTTTTAACTGAAAAGATTCTTGAGACAATGTTAATGAAACATTTACCTGGTTATGGTTATACTATGATGTTATCAGGAAAAGATCAAGGTAAAGAAAAATATCTTTATCTTTATAGAAAGGATAAATGGACATTAAGAAGAGAATATATTTTCGATGTAGATATCACCAGACCCCCATATGTTGTTACGTTTGAAAGAAAAGGACGACAATTACGTGGTGGTAAAATAGTGATATTAGATAGTATCACATTAATTGGATACCATACAAAACCATCTAATGCTTATAATGAAACGATAAGATTACTAGAACAAGTTTATCCCAAGGTACTTAATGATTCTGGTAAAAATCCAGTAATCATCCTAGATGATCTTAATGCAAGTTTTACAACTAGATGGGTGCCAGGTTTTATTAATAAATTATCAGAGTTGAGGTTAATATGTGGTATAGGTGATAAACAAGATACCACTGTCATACCCAGCGGTGTAAAAAATAGATTTAAATCATATGATCGAATAATATATCAAGAATCTAATAGTCATAAAATTAAAGATTGTAAAGTATACAAGTTTAATGATTAATGGGAGGGTGATGAGGCATTAATTTTGGCGGCAAGTTCGAATGTATCAGACCATCAAGTAGTAGAGTTACAATTTAATTTAAATAATAGATTTTAAGAAAGTTCAACATTATGTTTATTTTTATTATTTTGATATACCCTGAGGTCATCACGACTAATTACTTCTATAATAAAATTATTATTACTACCTATTTTAATAGTTGAAAATCTCTTGACATGTATATTAAAATTATCCTCTCTTGGTTAAGCTGTGAACATTAGAATATTGACATACGATGACGAATTTAGAGTATTTGGTTATGCGTGATCCATGTCGCGCGCGAACAACTTAGCAATTAATAATCAATAGCTGAACTTGTTCAGACATCCAATAAAACTATATGGGCTAGGTCTGAGAAAAGGGACGAAATTGACAAAAAGAGATCAATTTTTATGTTGTAAATCTTATCCCTTAAACGGTAAGTAATCGCAGGCAAATTTGCCTGCGATTTTTCATTTCGCTATATTATATATAAAATTTTATGAAATTTAAGCTTTATATAATAAAACTTTTATTGTAAATAGCTGATCAACTTTAAAATAAATTCGAACTTTTATTTTTATGCTATTATACTGTATAAAAATTACATCATATATACGTACTTGCAAATCAGCTATTTTTAATAATCATACTGATTTTTCAAAATTTTCTGCTTTATTTTCAATTTTCTTACTACACTTCGATTCTAGCTATAAGAAAGCTTAGCAAGAAATATAGATTTTAACACAAAAAAAAAAACTTATTATTTATTTTTTTATTTCATTTGTAGAATTTTGACTTCGTATAAGAATCACTTTTTAGATTTATTTACATATTTTACTTACTTATTTATTTAATTTTTAATAAAATGTAAAAAAGAAAAATGTTAATTATTTTCTTCTTTTTGGGTATGATAATTTTTAAAACAATCGCCTCTACCCTTGTTACAACATTACACTTAACACAATAAATCTGCGATTGTGGTGGATTCTTAGGCACCTTTGCCTTCTTTACATTCTTTACATTCTTTATATTTTTTCATCTTTTTTATTTTTTTCATTCTTTTCATTACTCATTATTTTTGCCAAATACCTACACTACACGCAACTATTTCTTTTTTTTCTCCATTTAGGTAAATGTCCATTCAGAGATAATCTCAATAAGGAAAGTTCAAAATTATTTGTTACATACTGGTTTGTTGCATGATCATTATTTTTATCATTAAATTGTGCCAGTTCTTCAACTTGGCTCCATGTATTTGGTTTTTTCAATGAACTACTTTCTTCCATTCCTGCATTAATCAAATCCCATACTAGCTAAATACAAAAATCTTTATAATTAATATTTTTACCACTTCTTTTTAAGATTAAATAGGAATTGACAATCGAAGTATTCAATAACCAGTAAAACAAGGGTATCCAAGTTCTTCTTACTGGTAATTGAATGCTGTAATACCCACAAAGCTGGTCAGCTATATTTACTCTACCCATGTTATAGTTATAATTATCAATTACACAAGAAATAGGTAAGGCTTTTTTTACTAGCAGCTCCAAAAACTGCATACACTTTTTTCACATTGGTGCTGGTTTTTTGAGATCAATGACTAATTCTTTCAATTCTATTTTCATTTCTAGCAATTTTGTGAATGGTGGTTAGCATGGTTACAGGGCCATTGTCTATCCATAAAAGAGCCAAAACCTCATCAACTACTATTCCAGATAATGTATCCCACTTTAGTTTTTTATCTATTTTAAGAATTTTTAGAAATTTTGCTTTATTTGTTCTAACTGTCCTACAAGTGCCAATATTTTTATTATATAGATATTAAAAAAGATTAATAGATAAAAAATAGTTGTCTATATATATATTGAAAGATTTATTTAAGGGTAATTAAAAAACAAGGTGACAGACTTCATTCCTGACTTTATTTAAATTAGAAATTTGTTTTATTTTAGGATAATCTTGAATTTGTGAAGTAAAAATGAAAGCATACGTATAACCTACATCACAAAGAGAGAGAATCTTATAGCCTTCTAGTGTAGGGCTTGTTTTTGATTCTTACTATATGCATGCTATAATCTGAAAACCATATAATCATTTTATCAATTAATATATTAGATAATAGAATACAAACTAATTTAGAAATTTTTTGAATATGGCTTGCCAACAGGTCTAATTTAGAATATCAATACAAAGATGAGTTATTACAGTTTGAAATATGCATAAAATGTTTTATCTAAATTAAAAAAAAAAATAAATAAAACAAAAAATAAAATAAAAAATTTAATAATTTAAATAATTTTAATGTAATAAAATAATTTATTAAAAAACATACTTGTTTAAAATAAAGCAATGACATAAAAGTTGTAATTTTGTGTTTTGGAAATCTATTATCTTTATTTCAGTAATTCTTAATACTAGATAATTTAAAAATACCTGTATATATCAAAATTGCTAACCAAATTTTAAATTCTCCTACAGTTAATTTTTCCCATCTACAACCTTCTCCTGCACCTTTTACATATATATATTCATTAGAATTCTGGACTATTGTATTTATTTGTTCAGATGAAAAGAATATACTAAAAATTGAGTATGGTAAGGATAACAAAAACTTATATCTAGTAGGTAAGTTTACTTTAAATTTATGTATTGGCCATAAATATTGAAACATATTAAAAGAAGGGTGAGAAAAAAGTTGGATATTGTTAGTTTTATAATTTTGACTATTACTATGGCCATGACCATGACCATAGCCATGACCATGACTATGACCATGACTAGAATTGCTATCTTGGCTTTCAATTCTTTCATCTTCGATTAAGTCATCTTGAATATCATAATTTTCATCTTTGTCCAATTCATTTTGCTCATAATTTTCATGAGCATTATGTAATAACTCTACAATATATGTGCTATCATTATTCTGTTTGTCAGAGATTGATATTTCTATTATAAAAAGAGATAAAATAAAATTTTTGTAAAAAAAAAAATCAAACTTGAATAAAAAATACCTTATGTGGAAAAATTTTAAAAAAATTCTTTAAATAGCTAGCTTCACGCTTTTTAAAACAATGAGTAAGTATTTTAATTGATCAAATATGTTAACAAAATGTATATAAATACTTATATAATGCAAAAAAATAATTAGTCATTTTTTGCAATGAAATATAAAATGATCTGTGTTTAAATTTAGAAATTGCAGGCAAATTTGCCTGCAAAACTATTTAAGAGATAAGAAATCATAAGAAAATACAAGCTATATTGACTTTTGTGTTTTAAGTGAAAAATGAATCTAATCTTATTTTAAATTAATTTATATAAAAAAAAATAGCTTTTAAAAAAATTGTCAATTATGTTTCTTTTCTCAGCACCTAGCCTATATAATTCTAGTAAAATTCAGGATTTATTATTATTAAATTTTACAGATATTCCCAAACCCTAATTTTAGCTAATTCTTTTGAATAAAACTGCATTATTGTTTTATTTTTGAGTTAATAAAAAATATTAAAACATTAACTAAACTCTAAATAAACAGTATTAGTCATCTTACATTTTTTATGAAATAATATAACATATTAGATATATATATATATATAGTGCCTATTACAAACATAAATAGATCTCTAGTATCTCTTACAAAAACCCAAAAAAATATATAAAGCTTTTTTTTAAAGATATAGTATAATAATAAATTCTTATCATTTTTATAAGTTAGGCCATACAAACTTAATTAATTGGTTCTCATAACCTGGCCAGGTCAAATTTAACAAAATTTTGAAAAAAATTTTTTACTATATTTATTATCTGGGTGAATTTTTGTAAAAAATTTTATGTTTTTTACATATAAAATTTTTTGAAAATAAAATTAAAAGCCAGGTTGCCAGGTCATTACATCAAATTTTTTCTAAATAAATTTTTTTTTAAAACTTTAAACAAAAATAACTCAACAATAACTTTAATAAAATTTTTTAAATCGATTTTAAAAACTTGTAAAAATTATTTAAAATATTTTTTACTAACAATCAAAAATTTTATTAAAAAAGATTTGAAGTGTTTCTACTAACTTATTTCTATATATAAAATTAATAGTAAATCTATTTTTTTGCTAATAGTATTACAGTGGCAGTTACATCACGTTATTGGATTAGGTGTAATGTTCGTGTAATATAAAATGAAGAAAACAATAAAATTTGTCTATAAATCTATCTTTAGTGTTTCAATTAAAAAATTTCTTGCAAAATTTTACTATATTTTAACCAAACTTTAACTTAGCTTTAACTCTGACTCTAATAATAATTAATTTTAGTATTTGTTTGATTTTATTACTTAATGTAATTGGCAAATTGTAACTGTTATCATATCATTATTAATAACAACTACAGTATATTATTTTTAATATTAAATTACAGTATAACCGGTCAAAACCAATGTGCATGTGAACCAAATTTGTATTAGTTTTGACAAATTATCAAGTTTGAAGGGTAAAATTACTATATTTAATTAAGAGATAGTGATTAATTTTTTATCAGTTTTAACAAGTTATCAGTTTTGACAGTATTGGTTTTAACAAGTTATGCTATATTGAAAATTTTTAAAATATATACAATATGTTGTGTCTCAAATATATTTAATATTTTGCACAAACTAGTTTTATGTAAGTATTGTTAAAAACTATAACTATTATATAATATTAGGTTTTTATAAAATTCAGAACTACTATACTGTATATATATTATATATATATATATATTATATATATATAGATTATAATATTTCATTACTTATTAGGTTAGGGTTAGGGTTAGATTAAAGAATTTTTATAATATTAGAACTTAAAGTTAGGGTTATGAGTATTTTTATATTATAATCTAAAAATAGAAAATCTCGTGTAACCATGGTGGAAATAGCAATTCCCTAAATTATTTATGATAAACTTTGTAATAATAACAAATCCTGTAGTAGTAATAGTTTTACTGTAAAACACCAATCAATCTTGATTTATTAAATCAAAATTTGAACGTTGTAATACGATTTCAAATAGCAAAACAGCAAAAATAATGCACAAAAGAAATATTTAATTATTCTATTTTTTTTTTTAGAATAAACATACAGTATCGGTATTTCATATTAAAACAAATCCAACACTTATCACGTAATTTCAGATCCTAGCGGTTTGCATCAATAACTGTCAGGAATTTCTGCGTATTCCATAGGCTTGCTAACGTTAGATATATTACTTAATACTAATAAGTATGTTTAAGGATTAATATAGTTGTTGTCTTCTTTACAACATTGAAATATAGTTTAAAATTGTTAGAGAATAAATCATATAATTACCTGCAAATAAATTGTTATCGATATATAAATAAAAATATTTAGATACTTGTTTTTAAAATAAAATAATAATGTTACCTTGAAGATTTAAACTTTTGTTTAAGCATATGCTTTTGTAACTAGCTTTTTCGTGTATTTTATAATTAAGAGGTGTTAAAAATTTTTTAGTTGGGTTTTTAATTGCTTTAGCTTGTTTGCATAATTCGGTTTTCTCATTCTTTATATCTTTTTGATATTGCCGCAACTTATCAACCAATTCACTAGCAAGTGGTCTGTTATTAGGCTCATCATCCAAGCACCTATCCATTAAATCTAAAAGTAACTGAGGAACTTCTTCACGTTTGATTTCAGGTCTCCGACCCTTACATATCTCTAATGCTAGATTAGTATCATGCGGAGTGTTATAATATGGTGGATATCCACTAAAAATTTCAGACATAATAATTCCAAAAGAATAAATATCTGATGGTTGAGTATATTTGATTTTTCCTAACGTTCTTAACAACTCTGGTGCAACATAAGGAAGCACGCCACAAGGCTCTTCAGATCCTGAATCTTGTGACACTGGCTTACATAAGCCAAAATCAGTTATGTAAGAATGAAAAAGATTTAGATTAACAATATTTCCTGAATGAAAATCTTTATGCACTAATTTGGCTTCATGAATTGCACAAAGCCCTTTAGCTATACGGTATAAGTTATCTATTTTGCAAATCCAATTAAGTTCATGATATCTACTGTCTAATAATTTTCGGAGACTTCCTTGCTTTGCATATTCCATAACTATCATATAATTATCGTCTTTTGGGTTCTTAGTTATTCCATAAATTGTAACTGCTGAATTTCCTCCATAAGTATGTTGATTTTTAACCTAAATATTAATTATAATAAATTAAATTACTATATTAACTATATAATTAAATAATGCAAATCCTACCTCTTCTAAAAAGTCTTTATCTTTAGAATTATGAAGACTCTTTAGACAAACATTCATATGCAAATTTCGTTTCCATACATCATATAGACCATCAGATCCGTAAATATATCCATCAACCCATATTGCCTTAAAAACAGTGCCAAAGCCTCCTTTAGAAAGATATTTTATATTTGTAAATTTATCAAAAGGAATCCATTCAATGATTTCACTAAATTTCTTTGCATGAAGTTGCGTTTGTTGAATAAACTTATCAATATCATCGTTGTGACTTGTCCAATTATGGAATTCTCTTTCAAATCTTGAACATTATAAGAGGCATATATTTAATAATAACAACACTATTAAGAGTCACGATTAAAAAAATTAATGTAAATACCGTCTAACGTAAATTGATGAATAATAAATTAGAAATTTATTTTATCTTAGAATTATCGAGATTTTGAATACTGTAACTCACCGACTATTATTATATTATTTATTTGTGATAACGTGATGTAACAAATATGTTGTTTGGTTAACGTTATATTATTAGAATTGAACTGTCGAGATTTTTGGTTTAAGAATTTTTGTTACAAAACTTACCGACTATTGCATTGACATACAGTATGTGGTTAAGGTTGAGTTAGTTTGCATCGGGATTACGGTCGTGATTTCTATCATGATTTACTATAGAATTATGTTACGAAACTTACTCGCTGTATTGACACGTGGTTAAGGTTGAGTTAGCTTGTATTAGAATTAACTGTCGTGATTTTTTATCATGGTTTACTATAAAAAATTGTTACAAAACTTACTAGCTGTAGTAACACGTTTGGGTTAGTTTGTATTGGAATTAACAGTGACGTTTTACTGTAAAATACAAAACTTACTCGCTGTAGTGACACGTGGTTAAGGTAGAGTTAGTTTGTATTGGAATTAACTGGTGTGATTTCTATCATGCTTTAATGTAAAAAATTGTTACAAAACTTACTCGCTGTAGCGACACGTGGTTAAGGTTGAGTTAGTTTGTATTGGATGTTTTACTGTAAAAAACTATGTTCAAAACTTACGGACTATTGCGATAACACATAATGTGTGGTATTGAATTAATTGTTGTGATTTCTACCATGTTTTACTATAAAAAATTATGTTACAAAACTTACTGACTATTACGGTAACACAGTGAGTAGTTAAGGAATTAACAGTCGTGATTTTTATCATGTTTACTGTAAAAACTTACTGACTATTGCGGTAACACAATGAATAGTTAAGGTTGAGTTAGTTTGTATTGGAATTAAATGGTATTTATTCCCGCTTCGCGGGGAATAATGCAAGATTTTTTCGGCTCCAATAGGAGCCGAAGAGAAAAAATCCAGGGAAATATGTACTATTTATTTCCCGCAACGGCGGGAATAAGAGGTAATCCCGGTCATCTGGGGGCCCGAAGGGCCCACAGCGGGTGGAGATCTACCGGGTTATTTCCCCGTAGCGGCGAAATAAGGATATTATTCTTCGTTTTTATATGATGTCATGACGGGCTTTACGACTCATAATCACTACTTTGATCAATAAAAAAAATCGAGTTTCTAGCAATGTTTGTTATTTCCTCGGTAACGCTTGTTATTTCCCCGGAAGCCCGGGGAAATAACAAGCGTTGCCGGGGAAATAACAAACATTGCTAGAAACTCGATTTTTTTACTGATTAAACTAGTGATTATAAGTTGTAAACCCCCGTCATGCGATCATATAGAAACGTGGAATAAATGTTATTATTCCCCGGTAGCGGGGAATAAATGAGTGATTCTCCCGTTTATTAATTGACGACCGGAGGCTATTACCCTATTTGAGGGGTGTCTAAAGCGGCGTACAATCACGTGATGCTTGTCCAATCAAATCATAGAATTTTGATGATCGCCGGCGAAGCAAAACAAGAAAAAAAAACGAATAACCTAAAAATGGCACTAAACCTACCTTTGGGAAGACAATTTTGCATATATATCTACTAGAACTTAACCTAACCTTAATCTAAAATGACCCTAACCCTAAAGTTAATTCAATAAAATATATATCATAAGAATCTACTCCGCTTTAGACGCTCTCCCTGTTGAGTTTGAATTGTGCCCAAAAATAATAGCCCCTTAAAACAGGGAATAACTCATGAATTCCGTCATGATTTACCATAAAAAAATTTACTACAAAACTTACACGCTATGCGTGACACACAGTATGTGGTTAAGGTTAAGATTTAGCTGGTTTGTATTAGATTCTATCATGATTTACTATAAAAAATTATGTTACAAAGCTTACTTGCTATTGTAGTGACACACAATATGTGGATGAGTTAGTTTACATTGGACTTAACAGTCGTGATCTCTATCATGATTTAGTGTAAAAAATTATATTACAAAACTTACTCGCTGTAGTGACACGTGGTTAAGGTAGAGTTGGTTTGTATTGGAATTAACAGTCGTGATTCTATCATATTTTATGTAAAAAATTATCTTACAAAACTTACGTGCTGTAGTGATACGTGGTTAAGGTTGTGTTAGTTTGTATTGGAATTATCTGTAGTGATTTCTATCATGTTTTACTGTAAAAATTATGTTATAAAACTTACGTGCTGAGTGACACGTGGTTAAGGTTAAGTTAGTGTGTATTGGAATTATCTGTCATAATTTCTGTCATGTTTTACTGTAAAAAATTGATACAAAACTTACAGATTATTGTGGTAACATACAGGGAGTGGTTAAGTTGAGTTAGTTTGTATTGGAATTAACAGTCATGATTTCTATCATGTTTTACTGTAAAAAATATGTTACAAGACTTACTCGCTGTAGTAACATGTGGTTAAGTTAGAGTTAGTTTGTATTGGAATTAACAGTCGTAATTTCCATCATGTTTTGCTGTAAAAAATTATCTTACAAAACTTACAGACTATGGCGATAACACAGTGTGTGGTTAAGTTTGTATTGGAATTAGCAGTCGTAAAAAATTATGTTACAAAACTTACTCGCTGTAGTAACACGTTGAGTTAGTTCGTATTGGAATTATCAGTCGTGATTTCCATTATGTTTTACTGTAAAAAATTGTTACAAAACTTACTAGCTGTAGTGACACGCGTTAGTTTGTATTGGAATTAACAGTCGTGATTTCTATCATGTTTTACTGTAAAAGTTATCTTACAAAACTTACAAACTATTGCGGTAACACAGTGAGTAATTAAGGTTGAGTTAGTTTGTATTGGAATCAGGGACACGGAAATATTCTTTTGATTTAAACCAAAAATTTTGATCGATTTTAGGCAAAAATTCCGATTTATTTCGATTTTGACCAGAATTAAGCTAAAGTTAGTGACTCTGGCTAGAATTAGGAATATCACGTGTTTATTTCGAATTCCGGGCTTGTAGGGTGTCCAAACCAAATTTTCGTATCGCGTTTCGCATAAGGCCAGACCAATTTGATTCTCTGTTTAACATGATCCCCCCCTATTTTTTAAAATTTTGCATAAAAAACACATAAGGCCATGCAAAATTAATTAATTGGTTTTCATAACCCGGCCGGGTCAAAATTTGAAAACTTCTAAAAAAAATTTTTATATGTTTTAATAACCGGGTAGGTTTAGAAAAATTTTTTACATAAATTTTATAAAATTTTATATATGAAATTTAAAAAAAAAAGCCGGCCGGCTCGGTCTATTTTTAAAATTTCATGTTATGAAAACCAAGTAATTAAATTTGTATGGACTAATATTAACCAATCAAATTGCAGTATTAACTTTGTTTTTTACATTTTTTACAGCCAATAAAATTAAATTGAGTGGTCTAATTAAGGAAAAAAGGCATAAATGCACGTGCATGAGATATGGTTGGTGATAGTGTTGTGAACCGTCAACCGAAAGTTCAACCGGGGATGATCCGGGTGGACTGCCGGGTTTTCCTATCCAATCGCTGATTTTTGTTTA